TCAATATTCAATTTTCAATGTTCACCTGCTCATTTCAATGTATGTGTATTTTCATTTTATTGAAGATTCATGTCCATATTAAATGTTAGCTGTTTCTTTTTAATGTTTAGTTTTAAACCAATTTAGCTATTACATTTTCTGCACCTGAATAAAAGAACTTGAGCATTGTTTCCACAGGTTACTAAAAAACAACATACTGGCCTTTTTAACACTTCCTTCAGGTCAGGCTGAATCTTTAGATCTATTTCAGGAGTTTGTGTCAGTTTCCAAAATGTATTCATAGCCAGTTTGGGAAAGCAACATCCCAGAACTATTTTATTTTCCTGTATTGTCCAAATCACCCAATCACCCCACTCAAATGAACTCTGTAGATGAAGGATAGATGAGTTAAGACGGAGCACAAAAAAGGGTCCTACTACTTCAAATCCACCACGACCCCCACATCTCCAAAACAATAAGGCAACAAATTGCAAGAAAGTGAAAGGCAGCAGTGCCGAGAAAAAGGTAGCTGTAAAAAAAAGTGGGGGGAGAAAGGTAATCCTATTGAGATGTAAGTGAACATAAAACAGCTATATGTAAATGCAAACGGTGGGCTTGGAGTTTCAGTATTCACTTTGATCTTCCAATCTGAGTTTAATTCTCCTATTTGTAAGGAAATCAAGGCCTATTAGGCTTAATCTCACTTAATAGCATGTACCTCTCCTTTTGTAGTCTGCTTTAGGCAGCATCTTCTCTTCCTTGCACACAGCGTCTGGCATTCACACTTCTGTCGTAATCCCTACTTCCAGGGTGGCAATTATTTCAGTGCAGAGTATTTTATTATTATTATTCATGTAATTCTCAGAAGTGTGTGATTGCTACCACTCTCCCACCAGCCATTTAAGGAGGTCTGTTTTTTTGGGGGAACACCACATGAACTCCATTCAGTAGGACACATTTTCTGGGCGTTTGAGCGTATTGTGAAGTGGCTTTAATGAGATCCCGAAACCACCCAACCTTGCATGGCTGATATCAAGAATTTGATTAAAAAAAGAAAAACCTTTTGGACGAAGTAATTACACAACAGGTTTTGATCTTGTTGTTGTAAAATGAATGAGGGGGCAAGAAAAGGACTGTTTCACATTTTCAAAGACTATTCTTTACCCACTCTTATGGATCAAAAGCATATTAGTAATTGCTCCCCTCCACCAACTCAAATCATGCAAACAAAGCTGGTAGAGACCACAGCAAGGGCACTGACTTCCTTCTGATAAGAAAAAATGGCATTCAGGCTCTCTAGCTGTAGTGACTGATATATCTTGGCCACAATATATATGATATACTGACATATCTTCTTCCTCTTATTGGCACTGCTTTTGGAGCAGAATGCAATTTAAAGATACAAAAGATCTGCAGTCGAGATCAGGTCAAAATAAACCTCCCAGTAGCACAGGGAGAGAATCCCAATTTTGTGGAAGATTGCATTATAACCAGATTTGAGGAGGATTTTTATTGTAATTCTAATTGCTTGTTTTTATCTGCAGTTACTCACACTGCCTTTAAGTTCCAATATCATTGAACAATCTGTGATTTCTTGTTATTAAATGAAATATCTCACAAGGCAGAGATTTTGGATTCTTATGTTTTATTTTTATAATAAAGACAATAAAGGTCCTTCTACATTACAAGATGTGGACCAGACTACAGTACATATAAGCACAAGGGTATTTACATGTTTATACATCATTTATGCTTCAAAGCATGGATAATGAGCGTAAAACTATCTTTATGCATTTTGGTGACAAAAGGAATGCTAATAATAATTTGACTTTACTCTTCCTTTCCTACGACCCTATGATCTACAGTACATACTTTCCTTGATATTCTACTGTTTTCTTCTTCTGAAAAAAAATCTATAAAATCCACCTTTCTTTAAATACTCATCTTCATGCCCCTGACTCTTTATCCTGACTGGCCTCCCTAAATCTGCAGCTGGTCCTCTTCTTCACTAGCTAACTATCTCTGTTCATTCCTTTTTTAAGATCTTTCTCCTTGTCTAAACCTCTCCTTTCTCTGAAACTTCTTCTGGCTATTTTGCTGTGTCATCTCCTCACTCTCCTGCCTCTTGTTTCCACCCATTATCCTCCCTTGACCTGAGTAGATAAGCAGGCATGTCAGAACAGCATCATTTTGACCATATTTGCACTTTGATCAATGATCTGACATTATTATTAGAGTGCTACTTCATGCTACTGAGTAGAGGATCAGAATCTCAAGGATGCTTATAAAATACATGCATACATAATTCTATTACATGTTTGTTATTCTGGTATATTACATTATGATCTCTCACCTTATTTCACTTAATTGCAATATTTTTACTTTTTTTACTGAATTAAAATTGCTTTGCTGTATATACACTTCTCATTATATCACCATTGTTGTATGAATTATATCAATGTTGTTATACCACTTCAACATTGAAATTTTGCACTAGGTATCTCTTTTCATTTTACAGTAATTGTGTTTTCTATATAAATTGTTTTAATAAAAAATTATTATAAATTGGATAAAGGTGTCACCTAAATAATAGTAGTAATATTTAAGAGTAAGAGAACAGTAATAATCATAAACAGATAATGAAATAGCCCCATGACTCTAATACTGTATATACAGAAACTAAAGAAAATGTCAATTTCTTATAACAAATGCTGAATTATAATAATGTTTTAATGCTGTTTGTAAAATGAATCAATGATGAAAAATATCAGTAGTTTTTATTTCTCACACTCATTTCTATTTTAGTCTTTGCTATGAAACTGTCTTTTAACCTTAACCTTATTTTCACCAAAGACCTGCTCCCTAAGATCATCCTTACAGAAACACTGTGCTCTTTTGTCTCTATCTGTGCTCTTTTGTCTCTATCCGTCTGACTGGTCAGCTTTGCTTCAGGGACCAGTGCTGTTCAAAGAGACAGAAAGTATACAACTTTTTTTTAAAAAGGACAAGGAAACATCCACAGGTCCTTAATTGTGCTGAAGTTGCTATTAATTCAAATAAATGACATTACTGTTCTTTCTAACAAAGAAAACTAATTAAATAACTTTCTCTCATGAAAATGACATTGATATAATTATCAAAATATACTGGAAGTTTAATTGATGAAAGGACAATCCCAACAGTTCTTGGACAATGGTAAGGAACCAAATCAGTCTCTCTAATCCTATTTCTGTATATTTGTTCTTAGCAACTCAGCAACAGAACTTTAAAAAGGTGGAAACTGAACTCAATTTAATTGTCATATGACCTTTGTATTTAAATCAATGTTCATATGATGACCACAATGGTCACCATTTTGAGTAATAATTTGTTCCTTATATGTTTATTTCCTTATATTTCAGACATAGATTTTTAAAAGTTTTTTTTACATTACATATGTATTGTTAATGTCTGAATGATAATCAAGATGTGTAAATATTAACAAAGTGAAGCCAAATCCATAAAATATGAGCTGATGTTTTTAAAAATAAATATTCTGAAGTACTGTCAAATTATAAATAATGGCTAAATTAAACCTATAAACCTAAGTACTATGTACTTATAAAATAATCATGAAAATATAGTTTCCTGATTAGTATTCACAGTATTCCTGTGTAAACATGCATTCTATGCTGTTTTAGAGAATACCCAGATGGCATTTCACAAATGACAGATTGCAGTCATTTACTATTAAATTAACTATTTTTTTTAGGTTTGAGGTTTTTAGATTTTTTTTCTCATCCATTAAAAAAATAATTGCCTTTACCCAGAAATACATTATGAATGTATAAAAGATGATTATTAAAAAATATCTTAGTGGAGATATATTTCTTTCATTCTAGATTTAAATTGATCTAATTTCACTAAGTATTAAGTGTTAAACATATTAAGTATTTGTTGAGTTTTCTATTGAAAATGTGTTTTACATTTTAGATCAGTATGCTGTACTTATTAATATTGAATATTTTAGGTGGTGACATAATTGCTTGAAATCAGTTCATATAGTGTACTTATATTTTGTTTCTATTTTTTTTTTCTGAGGTATAGTATGTCAACAGTTTACAATAAATAAAAATGAATAATGAAAATAAAAATAACCTTAAAGCTTTACTGATCTATTGAGTTAATATACTTAAGAAGCACTATTTGTCCAAAACAAGCCAATTACAAAAGTTTATTTAAAATCAATAATAAAAGTGTTGTGTAATGTCTGAAAGCAATGTTTAAAAGGATGTGTTAAATAAATAAAAGAATTCCTGCTCTTTTTCATGTAACATTTATGTATGTCAATGACTTGCACGCTTTCTAAGTTTCTGGGGTATACAGTACAAGTTTGTGATAAAGTTTTGTATTTTAATATTCCACACTTAACTATGATTAGTAAATTAATTTCAATGTATTAATTTTAGCATCACCTAGCATTGGTAGATTTATAGTAATATTGACCTCCCCATACATCAGAAAAGGTGGTTATTTCTCTGTTTCCACTATCATTATAACAGATATTCCAATCTTACTCAAACTGATTATTCCATTGCACCAAATACATTATTGTTGTAATTCTAATTACTTTTATCCTTGTTCTAGAATTTCTGATTACCACATTACCAGTTTAAGATAACTCTATTAAAATCCTGCTGAGATACAAAATGATTTGTAGAACTAAAAAGAAAAAATGTTCTCAATATAAAAAGGGAAAGTCACTGTAAAGACAGGTTCAGTTTTTTATTTTTTTCATGTTTTAATGGTAAGGGAAATAACCTGTACTGGCATTTTTTTTATGTCAGATAATTAACACTCTATAGTATTTAGGGTTTAGAATAATAATCACTAATAATAATCAATAATCAAAAATAATAATCACTAATTTACACAGGTACTGTTATTTTAGAAAAAAGGCTCTTTTGTTATAATCCCATATATTTTATGTAAATGTATTTAAAAGTTATGTTTTTATAAGGTATTTCTTCAAAGAAAAAAATGAATTTTCATTGTAATAAAAAAATCAGTGCATTACACATTTTAAAAATTATTATTTTTAAGTTTCAGATCACCTTTAAATGCTCCCTTACTTTACAAAAATTGTTAAAACAATGCAATACAATTTTTATGTCTGACAACCACTACTGTTCATAAAAACCAATAATGACAATGTACAAAAAAGTTACATATATTAGCAAATAAAATAAAAGGAAATAGCAATTATGTTAGCAACAACAAAGTATGTTTGTTAATGACAAAGCCACTGATTTCCTTGACAAAATAAAAAAAGCCATATAGTATGCATATCATACATACAGTAACATCTGTATTATTGATTTAAAATGTTTAAAATAAAAACAAAGCAGCTACAAATATGTGATAACTTTAGATAACATCTTAAGGAAATTGTCTGGTATATATGACTCTTATTTTGGAAACCTGGGACTGGGACTGGTTTGGATGAAACGAGGCAGCCTGCAGAGACCACAGGAGCATATTTGACCCCCATTCGTCCACTGCAGCTGGGGATACTGGTGTTCTTCTGGGGATAGTAGGGGACACTTACTGGCCAGGATGGAATCCGGGGTGAGAAAGAGAGACCCGGGAGCTGTGAAAAGTGGCCATCCTGCTAAAAGCAACCTGGGCACAGGCCCGCTCACCTCCCCAAGCAGCCTCCTCATCTCCTGGAGAGAGGAGCTAAGCAGCAAGATATAGTTCCTTGCCAGAATTAGAGTGGAGATCTTAGAAAGCTTTCGACCTGGGGCTCCATGCTGGTGTGCCGCTGAGTAGGGTGCCATCACCTCTCGAAGTGCATCCATGGCCACATTGAGGTCCTGCATCCTCTTCCTCTCCCTGTTATTGATCTTCCTCCTTAGTTCCTGCTGCTCTTCTGGACTGAACTCCTTGGTGGCTTTAGCATTTCCCTGAAGATAAGTCCTGTTGTTCTGATTCCCAAGTGTATAAGGTCCTCTCAGGTCCTGGCTAGGAATCTGGCCACGGAAAGAGGAGATTAGCCGATCACTGAAGACTGGCTTTGCTGGGCTGCTCATTCTGGAAGTGCTGTTAGCTGGCTTATGAATTCAGTTCCACTTTCTCAGATCTGGTTTTCTCCACTCCTGGAATTTTGATGCTCTCCTCTGGAAACTCTGGAGGGTGCACACCTGCAATCACATGCTTATTACATGGATCCTTCATGTGACAAAAGGCTGGACTTGCTTGTATTTGCCTTTGTTTTTTTTTTATTCTGGCCTGTTTTTACTATGTTGAAGTTGATGAAAAAGCAAAAAGTAAGGAAAGACCAATAAAGAGAAATCTTCATCTATCTTATTAAAAAATGTCTCCTAATTTCCCAGTCAAATGCTCCTGGGAAAGCTATGAATGGTTTCTGAATTGTCTGATCAGATTTCTGAGAATAACATTCTTAGTCCCAGAAATGAGATGCCTAGTAGTATATCAGGGGATGTTGTGTGTACAGGGTACAGGGGGCGGGTAGATGGTGGTGGAGGTGGACAAGGGGAGGAGGAACTCCCACTGATATAAAGATTTCTAAGAAAGGAATAATAAAGTTGTAGCCAATTATCTTTCCTGAAACATCAGCTTAGGTATCTTATTGGCTGACATACTGAACAAGCATTGATAACGTTAAAAAATAACAGCATTGTTCAGCTGCAACCAGTTAACTGCTAGTGTACCAAGAATTAAGGTAACATTTATAATTTTCAAATAATACTCCACCAGAACCTGCTTTAACTTCCCATGTGTGTCAAGGTTTTTCACTGTGTTGCAAGCTTAAAAATTTCTTTAGAAGCCAAAAATGATATTATGAAGGAGTGCACAGTTCTACAGGACAGATAGAAATATAGGTTGATATAAGACATCCAGAGCCTTCAAAATTAATGGCACATTTCATTGAAAACATAAAAAATCTAAGATATATTTAAGATGAAAAAATAGAAATAATATCTAGATAGATATGACAGTACGTGCTTTAATTGTGTTTTTTTTTATTTTAACACCAAGCTGTTTTAGTATTGATTAATTCGGCACATTTCACAATGCTGAAAGACATAATCATCTAAACAGACTTCTAATTCTGCTTTTTGTATGTGTAATGTCAAAGTTAACTACCACAAACTGTCATTTTGCCTGTTTATATCTATGACAATATGACACACTACAGCATATCTGTGCATTACAAACACTGCAGATTTATTCTCAATATTATGATATATTCTATTTTGTAATTACTGAATGCTGATACTGTACATAGTTATAATTACATAGTACTGTAATGCTGATACTGTACATAATAATCCCTGTACCCTATAACTGAAAAAAATGTGTGATTGAAGTTATAGTAAGCTCTGATGAATCAGTGAAGAGACAATTTGTTTTCATTTTGCTGATGTACAAATTAAAAGAAAAATAATTAATTCTCTAGTTCTGGTTGCCTAATGCACTTTTGCATGTCTTCATTAGTACATTAACATTACATTAGTACATTAATACATGCATGTCTTCATTATCGTCATTAATAAAACAAACTCAGAACACATAAGGTTTTATGAGTAGAAAATAAATAAAACCACATGTAACTTGTAGTATTGCTTCAGACCACTTTGTGTTTTGTTTTTATGTCTCTCTTTATCCATTTTCAGAGGTATCGGGTATCAACGAACTGGTGCAAAATCATTGGCACTTTTGAGGGCAAGTGAAAACCTTGTTTTCAGGAAGTGATGGTTGGTTGTCAACAGGTATAAAATGTTTTAAGACTGTAGCAATTACAGTATGAATATCTAATCTAATTAAAGAGCCCAAAGAAGAGGTAATCAAAACTATACACTAAATGAATGACAGATTGTTCCAAACAGGAGAGACAACATTGCCTACTTATGAGTCAAGGGGGAATAATTATTTTGAATTAAACAAAGAAGCAGGATCAAAAGTAGGTGAAATTTAAAAGGTTTCACTGAGGAAGAGGGTGAAATAAAGGATTTTGATGTTTTGGGTAAAAAACATGAAGTGAGTCTTACAGTATTGTTTTTTTCCAGACTTTTCTCTACACCCATGAAAAGAAGAAAGCTTGGGGGACAGAAAGCAAAGTGTTTATTGAGAAGCAGGAGAAGAAACCTTTAGAAAGGGGGTGAGTGAAACAAAAGTCTTTCTGGAGCCACTTCCCTGCCAGAAGTCAGTGTCATCCGGCTGGTATTTTGCAGATCCTGAATAGGCCAAATGGAGATAGACAGGAAGGGCAAGGGATAAAAGGAGCCTGGCAGGCTGGCAGCTGGAGAAAACAGGCAGCTACTAACCCAGGATCTGTGGCTAAACTTCCAGCTCCTGTCCCCTTCTGAAAGGGGCCTGAGTGATGAATTAGAGAGTCCATTGGTCAAGTTAGAAAGAAACCATAGTAGCACTGTTTTTTTAATCTCTCTGTGGCAGGCTAAAGACACCTGCACCAAAACAGAGGAAGAAAGAGATCAGGAGTGAAGGGGGGGGAGTTTTTTTTTAAAGGGCAGGCCAGATCTATTAAGTGAATAAAGTCAAAGTTCAATATAGCTTGTGGAAAGAGGATGTCAGGCAAAGCATCACAAATAAGTTCAAGGTTTACAGAAAAGCCATGTTTCCAGCCTTCTTTATGAGTTTGGAAACATTGTCTCCATTTATTAAAAGATTAAAAGAGTCTTTGTGGATCTTGAAAACAGATCTGAGAGAGACAGTGGAGGCTTAACCAAGACATTTAGTGGAGTAGTTGCTCTTTTGTCAAAAGTGCCTAGGTTTAATAAACCTGCAAAGCTTAAAGGAGTGTGGATTTTCTGTCTCGTATTTTTTTTATTTCACTCTTTCTGTGTACATGCAGATGGTTCTATTTGTGGTCTAACTTACTATAATTCTGTACAAAATTTTAAAATCAAGCATAATTTTTATTTAATCGGATTTTTGTGTTTTCCCAATACAGTATAAATATTATTTTCCTGCCAGTTTCACTGACATTTTATTTCTCCATCCAGGTAGATTTTTAAATAGATAGAATCCATTTCATAGTTCCTAATTTAGCTTATATGTTAATTCATAGACAGGATTCACAATTTTGGGAGTTACAGTAATACATAATAATTCATAATAGTAATTCATAAATAATTTTGTTTTGAAGTAGGAATTATAAAAACAAAGCAAAATTCAATTGTATCTAAATCAGTGCCTGTAATTTGAGATTTTGATTTTTGAATTTGAACAATTTCAGATTTTGAGTTTTAGTACAGCTTACTTGCATGGGCTCCAGCATAGCCATAACCCTGTATTAGATAAAGTGGTTAGAATGATTAGCTGGATGGGTGAGTTTTGAAAACAGACATTTTGGAATTCAGTAGACTTTAAGTAATGACTTAGGAAAAGAAGATTTTTTTTACCATATTTACTGAGCAATGTTTAAGACAATGGTGCCTAAAGAAACCCTCAGTTTTTTTTTGTGTTTGTGGGAATAAGTGTATATGGATTTAATTGCTGGGCAATGAGTAAAACGTATGATTTATATTATTTTAATTCACTATGTCAGTAAATTGAGAAAACAAATCACATTTACCGTGACTTCCTTGAGCCACATTTATGCAGCAGGGCATTTACTGAAGCATTAGATTGATGGATAGATATATAAGACTTTATTGATCCCGAAGGGAAATTGATGTGTTACAGGAGTCCAGCCCAAGACAAGCAAAAACAGAATCAGAATAGACGAAAAATTCTACAAAAATAAAATAAAGTAAATAATAAAAATAAATACATAGGTTTGTGCAAAATATGATGATCATAGTCACTGTAAAAAAACAATAGAATATGTGCAAAATGTGCATAGGTTTATACAAATTGATTGTCCAAAAAGTATAATGGAGCAACATGCTGTCCATAGATGAGCAAATGAAGGGCTAACAGTCCTAGCCTAGAGCAGCGTTATACACCCTGACAGCCGCCGGGAGAAAAGACCTCTGGAAACGTTCCCTTGAACACCTTAGCTGGAGCAGTCTGTTGCTAAAAGTGCTCCGCTGCCGAGTAACAGTCCCATGAAGCGGATGAGAGGTCTGTTTATTAAAATGTAGCGAATTACAAATTACCACAAAGAAACCCTAAGAACGCACTAGTAATTAAAATGTGAAATCCACTTTTGTTTTAGATTTAAATAAACCGTTGCCTATTTCCTTGCAAAAGTTCCTTTTTAAATTTTAACAGGAAGGGATAAGGTATCATGAAGCCATTGCAGATGGCAATCCAATTATATCTCATATGTCAATTTTAGCTTTTTATTTCATAGCATCCTGTGTACACTTGTCTGTTATATATGTATGTAGTTCAAAATACATTTATGTCAATTTAAAATGCATAACTAGCAAATGGCTTGCCCATGACCAATGGTAAAAAGATAGCATTGTCTGAAGAGTTCAAAATAATGCATCAAAAATAATGAGAAAATAGCAGATGTAAATGTCTATATTCCTTTCCTCCAGAAGAAACAGGTGCACATTAACAATAAAATGGCAAGCAATCTTTACTGCAAGGGTCAGGTCAAAGGGAAAAAGAATAATCCTTCCTTGCTGTCCCTAACTCTGAAATCTATCAACAAGATCCTGACATGGCTCCTGCAAACATATGAGAAGATTACAAGCTGTTAATAAGGTGGAACCAATTCGTAAAGTTCTGCTATTGTAACCCCCTGTAGCCAAGTGTGACAGTTTCTTGAGAGAAGCAGCTTTTGTAAAAGATCGGTCTCTGTCTTTCAGCTTTCTGAAATGCTGAAGCTCAGTATGGTTCCAGTTATGGCAGACAGTGTGCTTGTCATGCTTATTTCCATAATTAGAGACTGGAACTTTACACAACTATAGGGTACATTGTACTGGAGCTCTTAGTTTAATACTGTAAATGTACTTAAAGAAAAATAACAAACAAGGCACTATCAGTAAAATGTTGTTGTTATTTCCTTCTTCTTAGTAGTAGTTTTTCTGCATTATTTTCCACAATATTTGTATAATTCTGTTCATTTAATTTCACCAGATTCATGGGAGCAAATGCAAAAATTGCAAAGTGGAATACAAAAATAACACATCTATGTATGTGGCACTGCCTGCCATCCAACTTTCACTAAGCTTGTGGTTAACCCTGCAAATACAAGGCACAAGGCCGGACTACACTATGGATGGGATGCATGTCTATCAGAAGGCACACATACCACGCACACAATTTGTATACAATGTTTATGCTGAATTGTATATACTGTATTTGGACTAATGGAGGAAACTGGAGAACCTATATAAAAACTATACAGGCACAAGAGAACATGCAACCTCCACATGAAAGAACTATCATATTCTAGGGCTTTTAGGCAGCAATGATAACTAGCATGATACCAAAAAGACATATAGTACTACAGTAAATGCTCCTGCTGTAAACAGAGTCAGGAGCTCTTTTTAAAAAACAGACTTTAACATTAAAAAATAAAAA